GCTTTTCAAAGGAGCCCTGGTCCTTACTTTGAGTGTCATTTCTTGGCTTCAGTACAGAAACCTCAACCTACTGGCACAGGTCCTTCATCCTACTGGCACAGATTTTCTAGTTTCCACTGCTGACCTTTGGGTCTTCCCCACACAATTCGTTGAAACAAACTTGCTTAAGTCACTGTTGTGGGCTCTAGGCCTCTAGATGGACTCATAGTGGGGCATTGTCATGGACTCTAGGCCTTCAGCAGAACTCATGTAGTGCCATGGGATTCAGACCCTCAGCTGGATTCTCTAGGTTGTTAATATGGGGCCAGATTTCCTACACTTCCTTTGTATTTGACTCTGGATGACTATCATAAAATAATTCCATGAATTATGTGTCCTTAACATCCTGACTGTAACAAATGGCTACTGTTGTTTCCATCTAGAAAACCTTAGGGACAAAATGGGATCATAATACACATTCCCTGTCAAGTTGGAGAATCCTGTCTCAACTGAGGGATTAGAGATCTTAATACTGATCAGAGGCCAGAATTTTCGCCATTAAACTAAATGTGGTTTTTATCTAGATGTCCCATGAAAACTTCTTACTCATAAAAGTGGTACTTTGGGGAGGTGACTGGGTCATGGGGGTGTGATACTCATGGCTGGATTAGTTCATCGATGAGTTTATAACTAAAGGTGGTATTGTAAAGTCTGATCAAAGGAGGTGGGTCACTGAGGCATGGCTTGGAGGCATGTATCTCTCTCCCTTGATCTTTTTCTGCTTCCTGCTGCCATGTCATGAGCTGTTTATCCTCTGCTGTGTCTTTCTGCCATGCTGCCCTGCCCTGGAGTCAGCTGACTATCAAATGAAACCACTACAAAATATGAATCAAAATAAACTTTTCCTCCTTGTGGGTTTTGGGTATTAAGTCTTAGCAATAAGAAAAATAAATAAGACATGAATTAAGTACCTTCTCAAGCAGCCAAGGATATTGTCTATATGCCAAGCAACACCTTAATAGACTACCTATCTATTTTTGTTTTCATGGCCTCTTTAATCAGTTAGCCATATCTGCCTGTGTTATAGTTGATACACTGTGTCAACTTGAGCTGTTTAGAAGTTTCACTCATAGACTCAGCAGGGAGCCATGATTCTTACTTTGTAAATATCCTCATCCTGTGTAAAGGAGGGCAAGGAGATTTGTGAGTGCTATACCTGTCCTTGAAAGCAAGGGGACAGCCTGTGTACAATATAAGGGAGGAAAAGAGGCTTGTTTACTTCTTTTTACTCTGTCTCCTGCCTTGAAATATTGCCCCAGTGCCATGCCACCTTGCCTTGGAGCCAGCTGATAATCGGCTGAAACCTCTACAACAGTGAGCTAAATAAACCATTCCTTCCCTCTCTTTGGGTGTTGAGTAGTTTGTTCAAGCAATGAGAAAGATGTAATCAAGACATCCTGTTACAAAAAAAGATGAGAAATTCTATCAGAGCTACAAAAGTCTCCTCCATAGGCTTACAGGTTTAAAATCTTATTTTTTGTTTGTTCTTTAGAGTCATAATTACCTATATTGCTCAACATATTTACAAATGTTATTGCTCCTTTAGTGGTTATATGTCACAGGCACCTGATCTCCTGATGCCTCAGCTCCCTCCTGTACTTCATCACAGGACACTACCAGCAATGAATGGAGTAATTGTCTTTCTACCCATGTTTTTCATACGAGGAAAGAAGACCACCTGGTGCTTCTTTGGATTACTCAAAGCTTCAAAGCCAGTTTATGGAGAACTAGTTTTATGCAATGGCTTACTTACCAATATGCTTTCTTGCATTTATTTACTTATGACTTCATTATTTTAACAGTTATAATTGAGTGCCTGCTATATGAAAACAACTTAGTTACTCTGAAGTACCATACATACACAGTCCACGTTCCCAGGAAACCTCACAGTGGCAAAAGAAACAGATATTCAGACACAATTTTATATGGAACCAAATGTGATAACTTTTGATTAACCTGTGTATTCTCCAAGAAAAATGATACTGTCTTGTACATCAGTACTTTGTATGATAAATGTAATAGACAGGTATTAATAAATATTTCAAAAAACTTGCTACTATTAAAGATATTAATGACCATATCAGAGTAGAACATCTAACCCTGCCAAAGAAGAGATAGTAGAAGCTTCATAGAAAGGTGTGAACTCAGAGTTACTCAGATAGTCATATGCATGGGTGACAAACCAGATGTAGAAGGTACCAAAAGCGAAAGGATATACAGGTGAGCAACATAAACAACTTAGCAGTGACAACATATAAAGGATGAAACCGAGTAACAAGCCGGAGAGAAAAACAAATCAGATCTTGGAGAACAATTCAGATTGCTGAGAAGCTCAGAAGTGAAGAGCCGCTGGAAGGTACATTAATCAGCTTTTGACGTGTGATTTACATAACAACCTCAAAATCTCAGTGGCTTATGACAATTTTTCTTTTGTGTGTTATTCTCATGTTCCTCATCAATGTCTTTTGATTATATTTCTCCTGCCTGAAGCTTTAGATCTCCTCCATATTCTAGGGCCCAGACTCTAGGACCCCTTTATAGCACATGTCCTCATGACAGAGGGCAGAAAAGCATAAATAAACAATCAGATATAAATTGCTGCTTGGTAGATTTGTCAAATGTACAAGACAAGCTAGAGGGCCAAGTTCAACATCAGTGGGGGAGAGTACTGTACTCTTCCCCTAAGGAAGGACAAGGCATACTATATCAACCTTTTATTGCGGGGAGAGACAAAGAATGATACGCTGTACTGCAGAAGGTTTGCAGTAGAAAAGTTGCTGCTACTTTACAAGGTAACAGAAATACATGTAGAGAAAATAAAGGGGCTATAATCAGCCATATACATATAGAAAATGTACATATATATGTATATATATATATATACATATATATTGACCAAATAATGATATTAATGAAAATAAGATATCCAACAGTGTTAAAAAAAAGAAGTAGTAATTAATAAGATAATACAATGTAATAGGCAAGGCACACATGAAGGCTATGATTTGTGAGTATTTCTCAGTTGCTGGTAGGCTGACCACTGCAGAACATTACCAAATTGGCTCCCTAAGTAGAGAGGAAAATAGTGAGGAGCAGTAGTGTGTTTCTTTTCCCTAGAACACAGAGTGTCATGGCGCTGGGCATGTGTTGTGAGGTAGTGTCTTAAAATTGCCTCAAGGTCATATCAAACCTTTTTGAAAATTGTATACCTTTATATTTCTCTTCCATTTTCACCATTTTCAAATTCTAAATAGAATTTTGTTTTAAAACATTTTCACTAGTCTTCCATAGTTTTATTATCTGTGAAGAGATATTTTACTCGTGAAATCTCAAACAAATGTGTTAAGAGGTGCCTTTTGTATGTGAGACACAGTGTTGTCCAGCAGTGCACAGGAAAGGTTCTACAACAAACTGGGTTTGAATTCTACTTTTTCCATGTACCTGCTGTAAGCCCTGGAAGTTTAGCTCCTATGTGCCTCCATTTCCTCATCTGGAAAGCAGGTTCCTTATAGGACTTTGGGAAAAGTTTAGTAAGTCAGTGCATAAAAAAAAGTTTAGTAAGTCAGTACGTAAAACTGCCTGTCATAAAACTCCATGTATCTTGGCATTATTGTGAAAAGTTAGGCATATTGACTCTAGATTCTTGAGATACACTTAGAAATGTTTTAATCAAATTCAATGCACACTTAAGACTAAAACTCTAAATATAGGCATATTGATTCACCAGCTCCTAAAAGTATAATTTTGGACAAAAGATGAATAAACCATGAGCAGACATTGCAAGTGACACCCACATTTACAATTTCCTGATATAAACATTTACTCACCTGCATAAATGTGTGTTGTGCATGCCCATACATTACCTTGAGGGTCCTTTAGCAAGCTGAATGACTGGACTTGAGAGCTGCACTCATCAGTAAGAGCCTCTTTAGTTGAAAGGTAAATTATTTTTTCAAGAAACTCTGCCTTTTCAAGACCTAATTCTTAGAAAAGCCCTCTCACTCCCTGTCTCCCTCCCTTCGCCTCTTCTCTCTCTCTCTTCCTTTTTCTTTTTAGGTTATAGTCAGCACAGTAACATGGGAAGGTAGCCATGCTGTACAGTGTGGAAAGAATTTGGACATCTATTTGAAGGAAGCCTTGGGAAGTGAATAATGGCAGAGGCAATTAAATACAAATCTCGCCTTCCAGTTCCTCTTGATACTTTCATACTTTGCATAGAAACTGACAACTGCTGAGAGTTTGTTGTATGTATTAAAAGGCAACCAGCTCTTCCATGTTGAACATTTCTATACCTAGGATGTACGTTACCATCTCACTGTTCTTTCTGACATAAACAATGCTCTTACACTTGGCTCCTTGACCAAGGCAGTCATGGTGACATGAAAGAGAGGTAACTAAGCCACACTATCCCATCTAGTTAAAAACTGCTGTCTTTAACTGCAGACTGCTTTAAGGTTTTGTTGCCCTGTAAATCCTACTAAAAATTATTTTTTTAAAAATTAATTTGCTACTTGTACTCTAAATAAATATTTCCTAGTGAAGGACTATGTGCAAACCTGATTTAACTGTTTTTCTTATGACCTCTTGATCTATGAAATCACTATATATTATTTTATAAATGGGAAGCATAAAAGATGGGGAGCAGTTTTCAACCTCAAGTTAGGAAACATTACATTTGTGTTTTTCTTCTTTTAAGAATAGAGCAAAAACTAGTATAGACGGAATCTATTTGGGTCCTAAATACATGTTGAATGAATCCAACTTTATGGATAACTTTATGTCTTCAAGGGGATCCAACCAGAGCATGCTTTGACTAGTAAAGGTTTTCTAAGTAAGGTAAGATAATTGAGTAAGTGGCAGTGGTTAAAAATCCCCATGTAAGTAAATATAAGTTGGGCAATACTACAGTAATACACACTAGCAGTTTTCACAGTCTAATATAACATTTCATTTATTTTTTTAAAAAACAGTGGTTAGATGGCATGAGGCAGGTGGCAATGCCTTAACCATTCATTTGTTGTCAGGTCCAAGGACCTCTTCTATCTTTTGTCAAGGGAGGTGCTAAACTACTCTCCTTTCACACAGCACATTTCATGTTTTGTACATCAAAATCTTCAGCAAGTCTTGCTAAGTTTCAGATCAATCAAATTTTCTAGTGGCTTAGTATTCCAGGACATTTTTATTTGGTAACACCTTCACATTGCTTTGTTGTCATGGCCACCAGAAAAGGGGACAATGCTGAGGACCAGCTTTGAGGACAATGTGCAGAGTGGGCAAGGATCAATATTAATAAATTGGCACTAGGATAAACTGAGAGTCAGTTCTATGCCTACATGACTTTTGAAAGACCTGAAAATGGCTTACAGAAATATTAATCATTATGCCAACAGCCAGAACTGAGACTAGAAAGTGGTCTATGAAGTTCTGAGGCCTCAAAGCAAGATAATATGTCAGCTGAGGACTTGTCCAAGTTCTTTCTAGCTCAGTGTCCTTTAGCAGATAATCAGATTGCTGGTTAACCATGATCTGCTGCTGTGTGCTTTTCCAAAAAATGCAAGGTGTCCCAATTCTTGAATCTTGACTGCATCAATATTTCACCCCTACCACTTCCCGCAACCCATTAGCACATCCCCAGTAAGGCTGTACACTTAGTAAAGGCTAAGGACAAGGTGTCTTGTGTTTTTAGTCCTTATTGGGCTTTGTCTATCCCAGAAACTTGTGAATAAAATAGGTATATTGTCTATGTTTTATTTTGTTGTCTTACCTCTGAGCAGATCAGTGGTCCTATGCTAGAGCCCAGAGAGAGGAGTAAGTGAAGAACTAGATTCCCATCAAGCCCATTAGTGAGAGCTGGTTATTGACTCTACTTTACTGCAAAGAGGGCAGAAGAAGTGGAATGTATCCATGGAAAAGAAAATGAGAAATATCAGTGAGGTCATATCTGTTACCCTTGCTACACTTTTGATAAAGATCTGGACAGAAACAAACCAATGAAACACAAGTCTTTTTCTGCTATCAGTGTTCAGGTGGAGGAACAAATGGAATGATTTTTTCAGCTGTGGTGATCAAAAGTGGAAAAAAACCCATTACTGTGATAGACTCTGCTAACAAACTGAACAATTTTTGTCAGTGTTGTAGGCATTATATTAGGAGGGTATGCAGACACTCAACGCTGCTCTTCCAACACCTTTAATATGAAGTTTGCCTAGACCATGTCCAGCCAACCAAGTGGCATGTGAATACTTGAGGACCATTCCCATTAGGGATGCAGTCAGGGTATTGGTTGCCTAATTTTTCTATTTTTCCCCTTTGACCACAAACTACACTGGGTTAGCTTCCTTTTTTATGTGCCTGGTTGGTGATAAAGGAAACCAAATTCAGTTCAATCTCACAGATTGATTGGGAAATTCTAATTTGTATAAATCATTAGAATTAGCTTAGAGAATCAATGTTTGTTGTATATGGAATGCAAAAAATGCTAACAGGTGCAAATCTTTTACCTCCCAATAACAACTGTCAAACATCATGGCACATTTTTAGTAGTCCCATTATTGATAGGGGTACAAAGATTAGTTTGGTAAGCTCTATTATCTTAATAAGATTATAGTTTAGGACAGAGGAAGATTTGCTCTACACACATAATTAGTTCAAACAAAGAAACACTTCCAAGATGCTTATGGAGTCATGGAATTATGAACTCTTGTGGATGTGGGTGGGAGTAGGATCAGGGAAGACTACAATAAAAAGATATTGGACTTTAGTGTTGAAAGTTAAATGGGATTTTTGGTAAGGAAGCCTGAGCACAATGATGAGTTACCCAAGTGTCATGGTTTATGTCAGTGGCCCCCGAGCCTCATGCAATTATGTGTTTGTGATTGTTTCATTGTATAGCACTTGGATTGGTAGTGAGTGTTATACTCACCTAGAGGTGGAGCCAGGATATAATGTAATGGTGGGGAGAAGGTCTCTCTCTCTCTCTCTCTCTCTCTCTCTCTCTCTCTCTCTCTCTCTCTCTGTCTTGCCAATTTTTGCCTTGATATTTGCTGTTTCCATGATCTGCAGCCCCACCATTCCACCATGCCTTGGTTCCAACTGAGTATGGATTAAACCTCCATGAACTGTAAGAAATAAACCTTTCTTTCCCCAACTTTGGGCATCAGGTATTTTGTCTCAGAAGTGAGTAAAAAATAACTAAGCAGAATTTGGTACCAGTGGAGTGGGATCCTGATGAGATTATACCTGACCATGTGGTTCAAGAGCCTTTGGAAATGGCTTGTGGGCAGAGTTGGAGAGGTTCAGAGATGGCACCTACATGCATAGATCTGGAACAGCTTAGGCTATTCTGTAGAGGACATTCTGGTCAGAGCTCAGGAGACCAGAAGACTGATAAGAAGCCTGCTGGTAAAAACCAGATTCAGGAAGTTTTTGCTGGAAAGAAAGACAGCATTGGTTGTAGGACTCCAGACCACGTGTGTTATGGCTTGGCAGAAAGTTTGCCTGCATTTTTCTCATGTCCAGAGACTTTGCCTGAAACTGAGATTAAGGGTAGAGGACTGGCAAAGGAAATTTCATGACAGTTAAATATAATCAGTGCTATGGATATTTTTGGGGCTTTTAGCCAGATTTATGTTGCAGATGACCAGAGGGCATCCCAGGAAGCAGCAGGTCTCTGTTCTTTGCTGCCTCAAAACTGCACAAGTGACAGACTTTGCTCAGAGGAGAAAGCTGTAGAGTACCATGTTCCACAATGGTGTCAAAGGCCACATGAGGTTGCAGAATGGTGGCAGCCATATGAGGTTCCAAAATGGCGGCAGCCACACCAGGTTCCAGAATGGGGGTGGCATAGAAAAGCTTTTCCTCATAATCAGGTTCACAGAGCCAAGCAATCCAGGCACTCAATCCCTACAGCCAAGAAAGCAAAAAACCCTGGCTACTGCTGAGCTGGCAGGAAACCATGGTGGCATTCACGTGGCGCTGGTTTTAGGTGCAAGGAAAATGCACAAATTCTGAGGGTAAGATGGCTTTCACCTCAATTGTAGAAGGCCTGGGAGGCCAAGCAGTGTGCCCCTAAGAGAGCAATATTTAAAGAGATAAGGGTGAAGCTAAAGGTGCAGTGGAGACCCCAGAAGTTTGGAAAAGCTGGGAACATGGATCATCCAAGGAAAGCTGACAAAACCAAGCAGAGGGGGCTTAAGAGAGAAGCTGGGGGAGCTGAAATCCCTGGAAGTGCCATGGGAGTAGAATCACCCAAGCCTTTGGAACCCGATTGCTTCAAATGCTGAGCAGGAACTCTAGGACTTAATGTTCACTCTGTTGGATGTTGGACTTGCTTTATTTCCAATGCTTTGTATTCCCCTGCTTGTAACTTTTGGAATGGCAATGTTTACCTTGTGCCTCTGCATTTTAGAAACGTTTAACCTTGTTTCATTTGTACAGGGGGTTACAATTTAAAGTTTGCCATAGATCTAGAAGAGACTTGGGACTTGGACTTTTCAGCAATGCTGAAACTGTTGGGACTTTGGCAATTCTTAGAGATGGACTAAATGTCTTTTGTATAAAAGATGCACATAAGTTTTTGGGGCCAGGGGTGGAATGTCATGGTTTATGTCAGTGGCCCCCAAGGCTCATGCAATTATGCATTTGTGATTGGTTCGTTGTCAAGCACTCAAATTGGTGGTGTGAGTGCTATACCTGCCTAGGTGTAGAGCCAGGATATGATGTAATGGTGGGAAAGTGTGTCTCTTTCTCTCTCTCTTGCCAGTTTTCTGCATTACTGTTTGCAGCTGACATGAACTGCAGCCCTACCATGCCACCCTGCCTTGGAGCCAACTGAATGTGGATTGAAACCTCCGAGAACTGTAAGAAATAAACCTAACCTTTCTTTCCTTCATTTTGGGTGTAACTAAGACACCAAGAAAGGCACTTCTTTCAGGTCTCAGGACCAGTAACTAACATGTTTTTATCTTGCAGAAATATAGAAACTTATAACCAATTAGGTGTCTTTCAGTTTTGATCCATAGGAAGCATAGTAAAAAACTGTATATGTTTTTGTGGCATTTATCTTTATTTTTCCACTGTATTCTTCAGTCCCTTTACCAGATCTCTTTCATCTGTTTTTAGACCCTGGTGTATACTTCTCTGTAAGTCACTTCCAAAGAAAGCTCTAACAGAAGAATATGGTTTGATAGAACTCTGCATGGCTTGCCTTTTTTAAAGGAAGGATGAAAATATTTTATTCATCAGCATTATATGTGAGATGGATTGCAGAAGACGAGTCCTCATCTTGGGAAGTAAGTTAGAATTCCTTGTCATTTGTAGAGATAATAAAGGCCTGTAGAAAGACAGAAGCTCAGGGACTTCTGGGAGAACATGGCAGACAGATAACAGCAACTACCGGAGGCTCTCTGAAAGGCTCGGCTCAGAAGTCAGGAATGGTGCGGACTAAGGAGACATAAGCCGGTAGAGATATGCTCTACTGACTCAGGAACGAACTGGGCTGAGAGAAACCAACTTGGAATGCAGTCCTGGTGCTAAAATAGGAACAGAAAAGACTCGGTGTGGAGGCTGGACCCCGCGCCATTGGAAGCTGCGATTTGGGTTTCCCGCCGCTTGGTGGCTGGCTGCCTCTACCTCGGCTCGGCAAGGAGAGAGACGCGCGGAAGCTCTGTGAACGGGAGTCTGTGAATGGAGTCGAAAACAGGACGGACAGGCAGGCGTACACTGACTTGTGGTGAGGTGAGTGAGAGAAACTGACACTCTACCACAGTTCCACAGTTTGACTCCAGCAGAGGACTTTCTGGGCTCGGGCAGTCCTGCGGGAGCAGGGCGCGGTGGCGACTCCAGCCACACATTCCCCTCTCGGACGGGATTGGTGAAAAGTGCCTGGCCTGCATGACGCTGCTGGCGGACTCAGTAGGCTGGCCCAACCCAGATCCCAGAGACTGACGGTGGCCTGGAGGGGTGACTCCCGCGTAGGCTGCCTAGTCTGCAACTCCCTGGTGCGCTGCCGGTGGGCGGGAACACCTAGCCAGCGCAATTCGAGCAGGCTGTGGCTGACAGGCAGGGAAGCTGGGCCTCCTATGTAAGCT